TCTAAAACAATAGGCATAGTTCTACTTGAACAGAAAATGATATGATGGGGAATCTGTAATTGTAGGTATGGAACATATTTTTCAAACCAACTATATAAAATTCATTATGCAGGCTTTTGTGGTGATTAATAATTTGGGTTTTTCTAAGCAGCAGAAAGATAGAGAAGCTTGAACTTTCTTTACCTTTCACCTCAAAATCTTATTCATCCTTTAAGGTTATGGTAAGCTTAAGTCCTGATTCCTCCAAGAAGCCTTTAGTCCACAGCGATTCTCTTCTCTCTTTTGACAAAACCATTCACTGTCAATACTCTATACCATTCGTTTTATAATTTAACATAGGCAACCTCTTGTACTGCTATTTAAATTTCTGTGTGTGTTCCATGCTTCTTCAACTAGACTGTAAACAGCTTGGAGTTAGAGTCAATAAATACTTGATTGACTGAGGCTTGATTCAAGGATGGTAGACTGCCCGCATCAGAAAGCTCTACAACTGAACTGCCAATGGTATTGCTTTTTTCTGATAGGGGCAAAACTCTACAATCTGGATCTCTGCCTAACAGCATCTTTCTTGGAGAATCTGCTGTAATTTGCCAAGTCTGTGTTTTAAGAATAAGAAGTTAATATACATTTCTTCTCTTACTCATATGAATTTTCTACACAGCTAAACTTCAGAACTTCACAGTTAACTAGTCCTCCATGAGTAAGAGTTACTGTCTAAATCTGACTAAGACACATAATCAAAAGCAGACTATGTTTCTAGTGGTAACATAATATGGCCCATTTTTAATCTCCTACTTTAAAAATCACCACTACACTTAAAATAATATGATAACAAGTTAAGTTAGAGTGTATCTAGATTCCTAGGAATCATAAACAAGATCATCAAGTCCAATTTAAAAGAATTTTATTTGAAGTGAAGATGAACTAAGATAGAACTGAGGACAGTGGAAAGATCATTGGCTTTGCAGTTATGACCTAGGCTTAAATCTCATACCTGCCATTTACTATCTATGTGACCTAAGGCAAGTCACTGAACTTCTCTCGATCTTAGTTTCCTCATTTGCAAAATGAGGAAGTTGAATGAGATTTTGCTTCTAAGGTTACCTTCTAGCCCTAATCCTATAGGATCTAATCTGATCCTATAAACTAAATAAAACATATATTTGTGGAATTCACATTAAAAAATTGCAAACTTCTCCGACTAGTCTCAATTTTCTCTTGTTCTCAACTTTTTGTAAATTTACTCTTTTGGTACCCAAACTTTCCAAAATTTTCTAAATAAATCTTATTAGCTAAGTAGAATACAAACTTATTCATCAAATACTTAAGAGGTTTTTTAAACCTATAACCTAAATCATGACGCCTAATAGAAAATTCTTATATTAACCAAACTTTCATACTACTCAAGTTCATCTGACCCAGAACATTTCAAGATGGGGTATATAACTAAATCTCAATGAAAAAGTCTACCTAATGTGAAAATTAATAAACATTAGAATCTGAAAGCCAAATATGAAATAAAATTGGAGAACTGTGACAAAGTGATGTTTCGATGTTTTTAAGACTATAGAAACAAGAAACTATTATTTCGGGGCGGGGGTAGGAGGAACTTGCCACAATATGATGCCAAGGGAGCATGGAAAACAACACAATCTCAGTCACCCTCTAAGTCAGCCTTTGTTTTCATGCAACTAAAACCACATATGAGAACACACAGATTTTGGTCTCATGCTGCTAAAATGCAATAGCTTGTTGTATTACACAAAAGCAAATCTCTAATTGGATGATATTGTCCTTCTCTGAAAATGTTTCAATTTTCTAAAATAAAAAATTGTATATGAATATTGCCACAATTTGTTTTCTGAAGTGTTTTTAATCTCACTAAGGCAAAAAAGTAAAGGTTTTTGGGGAACATTCTCTTTGGTTTTCAAACCAAAAATTCTCAATTTCTGTTCTGTGCAGAAGGGGACACTGTACATAATGCTCCTGATGCAGATAGTCTTTAATGCAGTAACATCTAGATGGGTTTTCACTTGACGCCTTTTTTGTTTTGTTGAAGGCATCTAAAGGCAGGTTGAAGAACACTGTATTTTCACCCTATTGACAAAAGTTTCTAAGTCAAGGTCATGAAGTAACCCAGACTGGCAGTTCCTCATGAAAGCCAATTCCAGTATTGCAGGAACACAATCTATTGAATTTGTTAATGATTACTAAGTTAATACAGCAGAAAAGCATAAATTAGAAAAGCTAAATTTAAAGTACCATATGTTTTGTAAAAAACAATTGTTTCTTCCTTTCTCCTTGGTAACTTATACTTAATTTTTGTAAAATAAGATATTTGCTACTTGACAAAGCACTTTAGAGCTTTGAATAAAATATGTAAACTAAAATCAAAACACTTAATATTGTTTAGGACAGTATTTAAACTATTCACACAAAACAATGAAAATGTTTTTTCTTGATGTTATTTCTAACTTCCACATATAAGAACAAACTAGTTTTCTCTAAAGTACTTGTCAGGGGAGATAGTGCATCTATCTTAAACTTGGAACAACTCATTGCTACAAATTCCTCCAGTTAGAATTCCCATTCTCCTAATTCTCAAAAATATGTATAGCTGGTTAATTAACGGAAAAGTAACCAAAAATTCCTTCTTACACTGAACTGATGAACGTGTGTTTTAAAAAAATCAAAACTCCATAAATGAGTTAGTATTGTAGTACTATCCCTAAGGTAAGATGTAGTTTAGAATTTCCTTTGGGAAGTTTCTCTCCAGAACCTAGTATTTATATTCCTGCCCCACCTCCCCAAAATTGTTTAACATTACTTAAGGATGCAGTTGTAATGTAGATTACATGCAATACTGAAACACTGTTTTCAAATGAATGAGAAAGTCATTTGAGTAACGAAAAAAACAAACATAAAAAACCAGAAAACCTGTAAGACAAACACAAAGATAAAAGATTAGAAGGAAAATCTTAATATTACTTTTACAGATTAAAAGTTGACATGTAATGTTGGTAACATTACCAACAAGAAAGAAGTGGGGATTCTATCTCTCAATCAAGAAAACTGATGGGGGGGGGGGGAGAAGAGGAATCACTTCTTGATATTTTTATCACTTAATTCTTTTTCAAGGGAAAATTTCCATTTTCCCACATCTATGTGGATGTCTTTAGAAAACCACAAATATTTCCAGTTTTGATCTCATTAAGTAAAATACTGCAAAGGCTTGGCTCCAGCTGAATGACATTTGATGTGTCCATAATTCTGCATACAGTAAAAAGACTTCAAATGCCAAACACAATTCACTTCAATTGAACAAACATTTTAAAGTATCTAGCAGGTACGTGGCACTATGTTAAACGCTAGATATGAACACAAAAATAGTCCTTACCTAAGGACCTCACATTAAAAAATAAAGACTAATTCCAGTTTTAATAAAATTGTAATTGGTTTTCAGTGATGAAGTCAATGCTAGAAAGGTCTTGGACCCACCAAAACGTTTACGGTGATGCTTCTTAAAGTATTAAAGAACTAGAAACAAAGAAGATACTCTGGGGAATAGATAAACAAGCTGTGTATGTGAAGGCAATGAAACATTACTATGTTCTAACAAACATAGAATGTAATGTAGAGAGGCATGGAAAGATTTATATTAACTGATAAAAGTAAAGTAAACAGAATGAGGAAAAACAATATGTAAGATTACAAGAATATTTCAAATAAACATTTATTAAGCACTCACTAAGTGCTGAGCACTGGGGATACAAAGACAGTCCTTATAAGAAGCATATATTCTAATGGAGGAAATGACATGTATTATAATAATGTACGTATTATTATAATACAATATTGTAATAGGTACACGTCACATATACAAAGCAGATACAAGTTAATGGAAATGGAAAAAAATGACAATAAAAGAAACAAAACCTGAATTCTATGAAATTATAATGACTAAGCTTAGCCACAAAGGTGTGATATTAGAACATACCTCCCTCCCTTCTTTGCAGGAATGGATGACCATGGGTATAAAATACTGCACATAATGTTGTACTTGGCTAATATGTTGATTAGTTTTGCTGAATTGTTTTTTCTTCTTCTTTGTTCTAAAAGTTGGCTCAATGGAATGGGGAAAGGGGAAGGATGTACTGGGAAACAGACATGATATAAAAACAAAAGATAAATTTTAAATAAGAAAATGTGTTTTGTAAAATTCAAATTGTTTAATGGAGACCAACTGCCATTATGAAATGGGCTATGATTTATTGGATCATTCAAAGACAGAAGGTGTTCCAGTGTATGCTATTATTTAGAAATAAAAATGGCTTCTTGAGCAATTTAGCATGTTAGCAGAATTTTTCCAAGTCTCTTGGGATGTCTGAGTGATAGGACAATAAAACAGTTGAAAATCATTGCATCTGGGACAGTAAATGTTTCAATACTTGCCTGTGGGCCAGGTCTATGTGTCTGAGTTCTGGTTATGCCATTTAGTGATTCTGCTAAATAATATCCCCAATATTTCCACTCTGTACCCATTCTACACTTACTCTGAATTAATAAGAACTTAGCATATGGAGACTGCAAAAAGGACAAGGGCTTTCTGGCTTAAGAATTCATATAATCATTAGAAAACCACAGATTGAGAGTTAGAACTTTGAAGTTCACCCAGCCCAACTCTCTCATTTTACAAGTAAAGAAACAAATCCAGAAAGATGAAGTGATTTGCCCTCGGACACATAAGTAATTTGTGGCAGTACCAGGATTGGAATCTAGGTCCTTTTAACTCCAAATCCAGCAATCTTTCTATTGTACCACACTGCCTCAAGCAAATCAGCCACACATTTTATTTTGTAGGCTACCTCCAGTCATGAAACTCAAGGAAATCTATGTTAAAATGGGATTGGGGTGGATGAGGAAGGACAACACAGTGATATCATTAATGAGAAAGAAAACTGCATATAAGAAAAGAACGAAAGGAAGCAACCAAGACTTACTTAGCTCTTCTCTGTGTCTCTCTGTTTCAGCAAAATACTGGCGGAGCTCCTCTGTGATCTCCATGTTACTCAAGTCACATTCTATTTCCCCATCTGAATCTGACTCTTCTTCTGTGGAGGAAACTTGATCTTTTTTTGTGGTCATTTGGTAACTATGAGTATTACCAGGGGGCTGCTGTGACCATCTAGGATACTGAGATCTGCTATGCCAACCATGGGAAGATAAATAATCTTCCTTGGCTGACAGGTCATCTCCACCCCAGTCTGCATAACGACTACTTGGAATGAGGGCAGCCAAATACCATGGGGAATTGTAGAATGACAACATAGCCTTCCTGTAGGCATTCTGGTGTCTACGCATCCACTTCATGGCTTGGTTATAATGTTGCCAGTATCTTGCATATGCTCGTTGAGAATACCATGGCTTAGAGTCTCCCTGTGATGAATCCTAAAACACATGGGTACAGAATACACAAACACCTTTTAAACAACTAAATGACAAGTATTGTATCTACATGTAAGTATTAAGTACCTATTGTTGTGCTAGGTGTTATGTATAAGTATGAAAGTATAAGACATGATCAATATCCATAAAATGCTTAATAACTGAAGGAGATGGAGGAAACATATATACATGAAACGAGATTACATAATGCCAGAAAACAGGAAAGTAGGTTAATAATTTTTAAAAAAGATATGGAGAAAAGTACAAAGACCCAAACTGTTCGGGTCATTTACACCTAGAGAGTAGGAAGGGTCTGACTCCAAATCTGGGGCACTCAGCCAGTAGAAACAAGGAAATTGGTGAGGGGCCCTAGTTTCTCTGTAACTTCCAATCTCAGCCTCTCTCACCTTCCAAACATTTGGGCAGCAACTGCTTCCTTGATTATCAAGAAGAACAAAATTTTAGTATGTGGCATTATTATTATTTTAATACTATTCCTTTGTTCTAGTTCTTAATTATTTTCCAGTGGGACAAGAACAAATAAACATACAACACTTAAAATACTAACACTTATTACTTATTATCCTTTCTACTAAGTTAAAAAAAAAATCCTTACCATCACTGATGTGTGCCAGTTCCAACAGCCACCAGAAACTGAAATACAAAATACCCACACTATAAATGCTGAGATTATTACAGGCATCTGACATTTACAATTATTTGTTTAGTCCGGAGTTGCAGAAGAAGCATTCTAGTGGCTATTTTCTCCGAGTTCCAATGTTTATAATTCAAGTAAAATGATATTACATGGATAGTAGCGCTTTGATTACGGCCAGGGTTCAAATAGCCAAGGTTCCTTCCTATTGTCACAGTTAAGTGAGTTGAAGATTACAACATGTTTTTGTATTCAATTAGTTTTTCTATAAGCACTGAAGTCTTATTAAAATTAACCAAGCATAAATATACGCTGGTCACTGTATTTGCAAAGTAATACACCACTAAAGTAAGATGTAAAAAAATTCTGAACACCTAATTATCTTATATTGGTTGTCATCACAAGCTTGAATCCAACACATCTTTCTAAATCAGTCTCAACCCTTCCTGAATTTAGATCTAGGGCTCAACTTTAACATCAGGAATCTGAGAAGTCTGTAAGTGTAAGCACCGCCACAGCCCTTAATCTGCTGTAAGTTTTAGTGCCTCCATTGAGAATCATTTGATTGCCATAGAGTTGGGGTTCCTAACTTTGGGTAGTTGTTTCAAAAGATCTTGTGATAACTATATTTTAAAATTTTGGCTTCCTTACAGTCTTATATATTTTCTTTTATGTATTTAAAAATATTCTGAGAAGGAGTCCACAGACTTCAGCAGGTTGCCAATGGGGTCCATGACACACAAAAGATTAAGAATCCCTGAAAAAGAGTCCTTCATCTTCACTACTCTCACTTCCTAGTGTCTCTCTATCAGCTTAAAGAACCTGTGCTTCTTTTCCAAATAGACTGACAGAACAGAGGTTAAGTCAGTAGTTTCCAAACTTTATGGAATAACACCTCCACTTTTGCACAAAATAATTCTCATCTCCTAACTTTCAAAAAATAATCTAAGCAAATTAATTTTCTTAGTTTCTTTAATTCAGAAAATTAAAATTTGTAACTATTAAATGAGTAATAAAAATAAAATATGCAGATGTCTTTATCAGTAACATCACTTATTTATTATCTAGATTGTGTAGTGCTGAGTGCTGAGCCCGGAGTCAGGAAGACTTTAGTTCAAATCCAGCCTCAGACACTTACTATTTGTATCACCCTGGGCAAGACACCTATCCTCTCTTTCTACCTCAGTTTCCTCATCTGTAAAATGATAGCACCTACTTCCCAGGGTTATCATGAGGATAAAATAAAATATTTGTAAAGTACAATAAAAAGCTTAAAGTGCTATATAAATGCTAGCTATTATTGCTATTAGCTATAAATCATTACTTTCATGTTTAGAACATAAAATAGCCACAATAATATTGTGATGGGTGAGCTTGTTTTTAGGTACAAAGTTTTTCAAAAGTTTTATGATACTGCTATGCTACTTGTAATTCTTTTTCAACCACTAATCAAGACTGATTTCTTTACCTTTATGACAGCTACAGTGAAAAATCCCAGTTCGTATCAACAAGATACTTTAAATAGTAATAAACATTGCACCTTTTTGTTTGATAAACCTGAGAATTATTTATCCACTTGTAGTCAAAACATAGTAAGATTCTGAGGTTCAAATGTATGTTTCAGTGCATTATCACAAGACAAGCCTATTAACTGTTCTTGATCACATGGAATACGCCCCAATGTATCAGATCTATTAGAAGCAACTATATGGCTCAGGGGATAAAGCACTGGGTCTGGAGACAGGAAGACCTGAGTTCAAATGTAGCATCAGATACTCACTAGCTATGTGACCCTGGGTAAGATATTTAGTCTCTATTTGCCTCAGTTTCTTCACTGTAAAATGGGGATAAAAACAGCATCTACCTTGCATTATGACTGTGAGGATCAAATGAGACATCTGTAAAGTATTTAACATAGTTCCTGCTACATAGTAGGTGCTATATAAATGTTTATTCCCTTCTTCAACTTTGCTCCCCTTTCATGGCACTGTGTCCCTTATCTATTCATACTTAGGAATATCTCAGGTCTTTCAAACAAAGTAACAATTGCTTCTGCAAAGCAGGCAAGTGATTTTTTTTTAAAAGCAGGCCATTTACTTTCTTCTTTATTATTTGCTGGGCAAGTATTTTTTAAATTGGGAAAACCTATCAAATTATTTTATAAATTTATTATCTTTAGCTTTGAAAAATAGATGCAGTTACTATTTGGGTAAAGTCTGAATTTGAGAACCTTGTACTGATTTATATAGAATACTATATTTTTTCAAGAATGTACAAAAATATACAAGTTACAGGAGAAAATTTTTTATAAAATGATTGTTTCCTCCTTATCATTATCACTAAGGAAATTGGCACTTTGTTCTCTTAGCTCAAACATTCTTCAAAGTACTTCGGCACGACAAAGCCAGTGTGTTTTGCAATAATACAGAAGTGCCTTATTCTCTGCTCCTATATATGTGTGTGTATATGTCTATGTATGTATCACTTAGCCAAGGTCACACTGCCAGTTGGTACAGACTAAGTCTTCTGACCCGCAATCTAGTATCCCTTCCCATTTAGCTAATATGATGGATGAAGGATCACAGGATAGATGAGGCATATTATCCAGGTGAATCAGAAAATATCAGGGCTTTTATTTCATTTACTTGATGTCTCCTAGGAAATTCTGAGATTTTCCACCCATAGGAAATCTTAGGGAAAGATGAGTGAGATAATATTAAAGGACATAACTTAAGTTTTATGTTTTATAATCAGCAATATGCCCACTTCACTTTTTTTTACAAGTCTTTTTTTAGAGCTTAAAAACTCTTATATATAGCAATCAAAAAAATAATTAATGATTATGAAAGGCAACAACTGAGTTTTGCACTTTTCTAGCCTTATCAGAGTCAATTTCCCAAAGATGGTGAAAGGGCCTAGTCTCATAGCTGATTCTGTTAATTTTAAATTGGTTAACTACATGTGTTCCCTCTGACTCACTTAACATTCTTTTCACTTATGCCCTCAGGAAAATGTGGAGTTCTTTCCCATTAGAATCCAAGAAGAAAGGAACTTCTAGGATTCCTGAAATTATTCAAAACAATTTTAGATATTAAAGTCACAATTCCAGACACTATACCCTCTAACGAAAGGAAGTTTATAAGGGAGGAGATGTAAATCTGAAGTTCTAGGTTATTTAATTGCATGATGTTTCTTTGAATTATTTTTTTCCCAGGTCTGTCAGCTGCTTTTTAATAGCTTAGTCAATTGAACAGCAACTTTTCACCTTATGGGACAGTGGAGCTAAATGAAAAGGGATTGGTAATGTCAGGAAGGGCTGCAGTCAACAGAAATGCAAAACATGAAGCGACCACAAGTCAGCACAATGGCATAATAGTCACCACACAGCTGAAACCAAGCTAGTACAGAGACTGAATTCATTGTTTCCCCCACACCACCAAGGGAAGGAAGAAAAAAACAGGGTTGAGGTCATTCACTAAACACTGCTGTGGTCTACAGGCAAATAAAAGAGTCTCCAAGTCCTAAAAGATAAATTTTCCCATGAAGGTTTCTTTTTTAAAGCTTATTTTTTAGTTAATCTGTTATCACTTTAAGTGTTATATTTTTAAATGTATAAAAATATACACACAATAAAGAAAAAAGTCTAGAGCTCCCCTCCATAAAATTTGCCAATTTCAAGTCTAGCTAACCAGAAACTCCTTCATGCAAAGCAGTAACATTATATGTATATATACTCACACACAAATTTCTACTGTATATTTACATTCATGTAAACATAGGATATGGGCTGGCAGATACTTAGTATAAACATAAAAAGCATCTTCTTCCTCTCACATGCTAATGTAGACTTTGCAGCTGTTTTTAATTTTTCTTTTCTCACCAGAAATTTGAACATTATACTTATGAAAATATACCTTTTGACTGACTTCTGCATAGCAACAACTGGCTATTCTATAAACTGATTCTGAAATTTAACAAAAACAAACAAACTTTAGTAGCTAATATATCAGAGTAGACCTTCCTTATTGGCTTACCATATACTTGGCTATCTGATTAATATAAATCATTTGGGGGCCTACAATTAAATATTTATTGCTCTGAAATGATTCCTGTAAAAGGTAGAGGCCCACGTGAGACTGTAGCAAATGCAGGCAGAAATGATGCTTCCAGGCTAGATGCCTGGAAAATGTCAAAGTTGAGTACCAGTTAGGCAACTCACATTTGAATAAGAAAAAAAACACCCAATCTTTCCTTTTTTATATCATATCCATAATATTATGGAATTTATGAGGTACAAGAGTCAGGAAGATCCAAGTTCAAATTTGGCCTTAGACACTTATTTAGCTGTGTAACCTTGGGAAAGTCACTTAATCTGTTTGCCTTAGTTTCCCTATCTCCTAGGCTTATTGTGAGGATCAAAATGACATATTTGTAACATTTTAGCATACTGTCTGGCACATAGTAGGCTCTATAGAAATGCTTATTTCCTTCCCTTCCCTAATTCAGATCTTTGCATATCTAGATTCCTCCTAATTCTGAGAAATCTAGGCATACAATAACAATTCATTCAATTAAGAGAATGCCTATCAATTACACATGAGAATTTTTAACAATAGTGACAATAATAAGGCAGTAATACATGTACTGTACAGTACTCTGAGGTACTCCCACTGGTCTCTCAATTTAGGTAGGTTATGGCTATCACTACTGCCTCTTAGGAGAGTTAATGATGCAGAGGCTGTGTCCTGTTCCAATGACACCTAGGTGCCTGCCTGCACAAATCCAGGGAAATGCAACCTTACCCACTAGTGGCCTATATCTGACACACTCCCACTCCCACTAACACCACCAAGGAAATCCGAATTTCCCATAACTTCTGGGTCCATGATGATTTTGTTTTAAAAGCTCTGTTCTCAGAAGACTTAGTGAAGTATCATTGTACAAAAATTTACTGTAAATTTGATAGGAAGCGTGAAAGTTTCTTGATTCTTTTTAAACC